GGTCACACATTGTGGCTTCCGGTCGCGTTCATGCATGTCCATGATTTGGTTGCGCATGTGGTTAACACCAACTCGACCATAACTTCAACGGGGCCCGCGGCCACGAGAGCTAGCTTGAGGTAGACCGGCGATGTGTACGTACGTACGTATATCTCCGGGGAATGACAGGCAGGGAAGCCGGCAATTCCGACCAGGCATCTCTAGCAGCTTAACCGAAGGAATTGGCACGGCTCCACGTGCTTGCTACTGATGTATGCTAGTATCTTGTTCGGTCAGTGAGTGACAAACTCGTCCGATTTCCGTTTAGAGGTGAACCGATCGACCGCGCTGAGCGGGAGAGGAAGCAACTGCCACTCTCAGATGGTCAGTTCAGGTCAGGTGTGCATCGTCGTGCAATGGTCGGCAAAGGTCGATGGGTACGTACAGTCCTACTCGTACAGATGCACTGCACGTACATACCGTAGGTGGCACGTACGTGCGGTTCTCGGCACCTCAGGAACCACGAGGCATATATACATCTATTGTACTGCTCGTCGTCGTACTGTCGTGCAAGCTAGTACTATATATACGAGCCAAGGCGGTGAAAAAGGCTAGGTCTAGCCAGACTCGTGCGACTGGTCGTTAAAGATCGACCCCATCACCGATGGTCTCCATTCAAGACGTGCAGCAAGAGGCGACCCGGATTCCCCACGAGATATATGCGATCGCGATAACAAAGGAACAACGGGCGTGCACCTTCCGTTCCGATACTCACTCATCCGTTATCCATCGGTCGCTCCCGGTTCCCCGACGTGCGTTCCAAGCCAAATTGCATGGCGCGACCGCCGAGCTCACCTCGGCGTAGCTAGCCTAGGGGAGCGCCGTCTGAAAAAAGAAGAAAAATATCCAGCAAAGATCGATCGTGTATGGTGTGGGACCAGCCAGAGCGACGGACGGGCCAGTCGGACCTGTAGTCTGCACGTACGTTTCACTCCGGGGCCGTACGGGAACGGACGGGCGAACTAGGGAACGGGCGACACGAGGCGGCGGCCCCGGCGTACCGCGTACGTACGGCGGGGCTGAGCCGGACCGAACCCTCGCCGTCACGTCGCCCCGCGCGCAGCTGGCCCGGGCCGGGCCGCGGTGGACCTCTGCTTTTTTGTGCGGTGAGAGCTGCGGCGTAGCACGTCCTAGCATGTCCCCGATTGGATTTCCGGGCGGCGGCAGGCCTCAGGTTTCACGTCCGCCACATGTCGGGAATCATTCGGCTTGATTCCGACGGCTGAATGAATGCACCGTCACTCGCGTTGATCGTACGCTTTGCTTCCGTGCGTAAACGCCCGTGGGCTCGGCAAGGCGGGTCCGTCCGTTTCATGCTGTGATGAGATTCGTGCAGGATTGTAAAAGTAAATAAATTTTGGACTCTATAAGAACAAACAGTAAAAAAAATTGCGGGGACAGTATATTTTTTTAACTAGAACGAATATTTTTTTTCTAATTTTTTTTGGACTCTATAACTAGAATGAATATGTTGATACATCTTGGCGAATTTTTATTTATGTTTGTCTGAAAAGCAAGTGTACAATCAACTTCGAATTCCCCCTCAAAAAAAAAACTTTGAATTAGTTAATTCCTGATCAGCGAGGCAATTTTTTTGCGGGGTACTAGATAAACACATTTTTCATAACATGGTGACCATTTTTGTACGTTTATACCAACGGACTTATAAAACCAATAAAAATAATGCACTAGTGCATGATGACCGAGCTATACTAGTAATAAGTCCCCTCTAAAATAGATAAATGGACCCAAAACGAAAAATAATACTAATACTACACTAATAAGGGCACCCCCAATGCATTATATATTGATCTAGCCATATCTTATGCATTAAATGTGTATTGAGATATAACTCCTCCTATGGACCGTATCTTGTTGTTTTTGTATTTCTAAAATATCTCTCATTTAATATGACTTGAGAGAGACAAAGTACGAGCTGTTATAGTTTTAGTGCTAAGAGCTATATCTAGGTTAAGATATGGAACTCTCTCTTTTCTCCTTAATCAGGGTGACACATCAGAGTTTACTTAGGTGTCACAATCAAGATATAGTCTTAATCAGGATGCATTTGTTTAAGCCGGTCCTTACTTTGTGCTTATTGGTCAATATTTAATGTTTTCCTTGTGGCATAAGGCATGAATCTTTTCCCAGCTGGAGCATTAATTTTTATGATCTCAGTTGATGTGGAGTATGCAACGAGATTGCCCTTATGAACATCAATTAATCGGTCCATATTAACGTTTGGTTTCATGATAGACACTCCTACCGCTACCGGACATCGCCGAGCACGATATGGTAACGCTATCCGTTTGGCCTTCTCGTGCCGCCAAAAAATAAATTAATAGTGCTAGCACAACATCCCAAAGCCAGAAAGAAGCCAGTGGCTCCATGCGAGCCTCAAAGTCCCGTCCCGTGAGCAGGTGAGTGTCCCATGTCCTACTCTACCCCAACGGCAATCGGAGCAACACTTTGAGGGGCACAGCCGGCCGCCGGACATGGGCACGGCGGAGGCGAACGACCTCCAGTTAGATTAAGTTTCACGTTGCATGTAATTGTATGGATTTGATGTTTCTAAATTGATGTATCCGGTAGTGGAAATGATTTTGACGCGTGACCAGTCATTGTTCACGGACGCGCTCGGGCGCGCCCACAGGCGATTGAGGGGTTAGATTTGTTGTATCTGGCTGCAAATGCTCTAAGGGCACCCCAATTTACGGGAGAAAAAAATGAGTTGTCATTGTTTTAGTGCTAAGAGCTATATCTAGATTAAGATATGATAACTCTATCTTTTTCTCATTAACTAGGTTGTCACATTAGATTTTACTTAGAGCAAGTACAACAAGATGACATAGACGGGCTATAAGGATTTAGATATTATATTTTTGCTTAGTTGGAGGAGAGAGAATATGAGAGAAAAAGAAAACGAGTTGAAGAATAAGAGCCGCAAGACACTTTGTTAGTTGTAGAATAAGTTTGTGTATTTCTTTGACCAACTTCAGGATAATGTTTTCCTCAATTCATTCCATACGCTCGGAACAAAAATAAGAGCCGCAAGACACTTTGTTAGTTGTAGAATAAGTTTGTAATATTTTTTTTAGGTATGGAATTTGCAAATTTCTCTAACTTTGATAATGACCTATGCGAACCTTTTTTCTAGATTATTTCAAAATTGCACAAAGTGATATTAATGAGATATTTCTCGATAATTTACTAATTGTTATTTCTAAGTCAATGTACAACGTGGAAAATAATTCTATATAAAAAAATTAAATTCATTATTTTTTTCGAATGTAACACCCTCGGTCCTGCGAACATTCATGCCCGATAACTCTGAAATATTTAAATTCATCTCAACTTTATAATGTTAATTAACAAACTTGCAGTCAGAAGAAACATGCCATTTTATTGAATGGTAATGAACTTTGTATCATTTCATTCTTCAATCAATTCCATGTGTCTTCAATGATTATTCGAATTTGGACAAACTGGTTAATGTTCATGCTCAAGAACTCTGGAAAGTCCTGTTATGTCCCGATTCTTTCGTTTTGGCAAGTTGTGTTTTTTAGTAGGGCAACATAAACCTTTTTTTTTCTTCCGTTGCAACACACGGGCATATTTGCTAATGTTAATATTATAAATTAACATTATAAAATTGAGATGAATTTATACGGGAGTACTTGTATAAAGCATGATGATCCTATGGCCAGCTGGAGCACTAATTTTGTGATCTCAGTTGATGTGGAGCATGCAACGGGATTTGCCCTTACGAACATCAATGAATCGGTGCATAATAATGTTTTCATGATAGATAGGCACCTCCTGCCGCTACCGGACAGCGCCGAACACGATGTTGATATGGCAACGCCATCCAGCCCTCTCGTGCCGCCAAAAATAAATTAATAGCGCAATGTCCCAAAGCCAGAAAGGAGCCAATGTCTCCATGCGAGCGCCGAAGTCAAACCCCAAACAAACATCCGCGCTTCCGTCGCTCGCCGCAACAACGGTCCGGACCCGGAGCCGAAGGACACAGACGGTGCACGCACGCGCGGGTGGGTTGGGTCCTGGGTGGACGCGGGTGACGTCGGGGGCCGTAGCTGCCGTGCCGCGCGCGCGCGCGCAGCCCGTCCCTCCTCTCCTCCGATCGATCCCGCCCGACCCCTCTCCCTCCCTCCCCCTCCCTCGCTCGCCTATAACTACCGCCCGCGCCCCCCGGCCGCTCCCACTCACTCGTCCTCCCGCTCGATCCCCACACTCCTCGCCCGCTCGCTCGCTCGACACCGGCCGGGGCTGACAGCGAGATCGCCGCCGCAAACGGCCACCGGTTCTAGGTTCCCTGACTGATCCTTGCTGATCTCGCCGGCTCGGTTCCTGCCAGGTAATGGCCTCGTCTCCCTGATATTTTTCTCGCCATTTCTAGGCCACAGCACGCACGGCCCAGGTTCCACATCACAGAAAGACGATGATAGCATCGACGATCCTAGATCAGCACCAAGATATCTTTGTTCGGCCAGAGAGAAGGCCGGAATGGACTCTCTGCTATTCTTCCTAGGCGCCAGCCAGCCAGCCAGCCTGCCCCTGCCACCGCATCACAACCACCGCCCGCCCGTCGCTACCAGCGGTATAGAACATGACGGACACATAGTTTTCCTGCCATTACCCGACGATCGCGAGATGCTGATAGGACACTACTAGCCTACTCTGCGCTGCGGAAAAGGCCTGAATCTGATCGTCCATCGCGCTCTTCTTCTTGTCGCAGCGCCCTTCACTCTGGACTTCTCCCCGGCGGTGCCGCGCGGCGCGATCACCGGCGTGCCGGCGTGGGTGGATGCGGGCGCCCTTCCTGCCCCGGCGCTCCTCCTCTTCAAGGGATCTCCGATAGACAACGGCTGATTGAGCACCTGCACCTTCATCAGAAACAAGTAATTCAAGAAGAATTGGGGCGTGAAGAGTCTTGATCCGAGATGGCCAAGATCGGCTGCTTCTGTGCTCTGCTCGGTGGCAAGGGCAAGAAATTCAAGGTCAGTGCTTGATCTCCTCTGCTTTTCATTAATTATCAATGATTAATTAACCAGTTTGTGTGTGCGTCAGCGCGTGCACTACTGTACACAGGCTCTTTAGTCTTTACCAAGTCTGTTAATTAACTTGTAGTACTTCGTCACGTGTTTGCACTGTGTTGACCTCTGTAGATTTCAACTAGTATATTTAATTGGTTTTGGTATGGTCAATCCATGGCGTGTTCGCAGGACGTGAAGAAGGTTCCGCACGCCAAAAGGGCCAACGGAAGCGACTGGCAGAAGGTGAAGCCGGTGGAGTCCATGGACGGCACGGTCGCCGCCTCCGTCGACAACAGCGCCCCTGCACCAGCATGCCGCGACACAAAAGTTGTCGCAGTGACAGCCGCCGAGCTGCCATGCCAAGGCCGTGACGACGACAAGGCCTCCCCAGCGAGGGACGTCGGCCTCGTCGGAGGCGCAGCCACGGACTCGTCCGGCTACAACAGCGACAAGGATGCTGCCGGCACCGGCACACCGGACGTCGTGAGCGAGCTGCCGTTGCCGGCGACTCCAGCGAGGCTGGAGCGCTCGTGCTCCAACATCGAGACGGCGAGGCCTGGCTGGAAGGCGTTCGACCTGCTGCTGCCGCCGGCCAAGTCGCGCTCCCACGGCGACCTCGCGACCTTGCCCGCCGGCGCCGGTAGCTTGTTCGCCAGCCCCAACGGCGGGCCGGGCGGCTCCAGCCCGGCGCCGTCCGTGAGGTCGACGTGCAGCGCGGACCGCGTGATGCTCAAGAGGAGGTCGTCCAGCCAGGTGCTCCCGTCCCGGAGCCGGAAGCTGTGGTGGCGGCTGTTCATGTGGAGCCACCGGAACCTGCACCGGCCGGGCGCCGCCACATCGAGCACCTTGCCACCCGCGGACACACACCACCAAATGTTCCACTCCCATCGCCAGCAGCACGACGGGTACACGTCCGACACCTTCGGCACCGCGGCGGACGGCAACTGCAAGAACAAGGAGATCGCCGCGGTGGAGGAAGAGCCGACGTGCCCGAACCAGTGGGTGGCGTTCTCGGCGGAGGTCTCGTCGTCGCTGGACCGCGTCAGCGCGTGGGTGAGCAGCCTCGGGGACAGCTCGCTGCTGATCCACGCCGAGGAGCAGGAGGAGGAGGACGACGAGGAAGAGGAGTGGAACGGCATCACCGAGACCGAGATCGGCGAGCCGTCGGGTACGACGACGAAGGGCCACGCGCAGGCGCAGACGCGGCAGAAGCGGCGCAGCAGGGCGGCGGAGGAGGCGGTGCAGCAGGCGAGCAGCATCGTGCAGACGCTCAACGCCTTCTCCTCGGTGGCGCACATCTCCGGCATGGGGCTCAAGGCCGTGCCCATGATCTCGGCCTTCTCCAGCCTCCGGGCGGTGAACCTCTCCGGCAACTTCATCGGTAAGCACACCCGATGATCCACCGGCAGTGGTAACAGAGGTGCAAGTGACTGACCTGACATTCGTCGGTTTGCTTTGGCATGCAGCTCACATCTCGGCCGGGTCGCTGCCCAAGGGGCTGCACTCGCTGGACCTGTCCCGGAACAGCATCGCCAGCATCGAGGGCCTCCGGGAGCTGACGCGGCTGCGCGTGCTCAGCCTCAGCTACAACCGGATCGCGCGCATCGGCCACGGTAACCATTTCCGTTCCCTTCTCTTGGCAACGGACCATGAACCAATCCACCATGGATCGCGCCCATTATTTTGCATGCCCTTCCTTCCTTCATTCCAGTACTACGTGTACGTGCTCTGGTGAAAGCCAGCTGGGCTTGGGGCTATACCTTGTACATTGTTGATTGTTCAGTGTCGCCGTGTCCACAGGGACCGCCCGCCCGGTAGCATTACGAGCGAGCTGCCAGATCTTGGCCCAGCCTAGCTCTGGGGAAGGGGAAGGGTGGTCCGAACGAGCGAGCGACAGGCTACTCGTACACACAAATTGATGAGCGTACAGGGGGCAGTGGTCGTGTCATCGGCCGGTACCAGTACGCCGCGCTGGAAAGAACCTCCCTGGTTACGCCCGACCGACATAGACATCTCGCATTCTGCTTTTTTCCTTCTGATGCTGCTCTGACGATCCTCGTCACACACTCACACAGTACCTGGTACTAGAGTAGTAGCAGCAGCAGCAGCTTTGCTCATCCCAGATGTAGATGTATGTGACACATCGTGGTCCACTCGAACGTCGTCCTTTGTTGTGCAGAATTATGATCCTGCCAGAATTTCACCAAACATCTTTGAGCTTTCAAAGACTGACCAATAACCCTATCCTGTTGAAAACATTCCAGGCCTGTCGAGCTGCACGGCGCTGAGGGAGCTGTACCTGGCGGGGAACAAGATCAGCGACGTGGAGGGGCTGCACCGGCTGCTCAAGCTGGCGGTGCTGGACCTGAGCTTCAACAGGGTCACCACCGCCAGGGGGCTCGGCCAGCTCGTCGCCAACTACAACTCGCTCCGGGCGCTCAACCTGCTGGGCAACCCCGTGCAGGCCAACGTCGGCGACGACGCGCTCCGCAAGGCCGTCTCCGGCCTCCTGCCGCTGCTCGCCTACCTCAACAAGCAGGCCCTCAGGCCGCAGCGCGCGCGCGAGGCCGCCAAGGACAGCGTCGCCAAGGCCGCGCTCGGGAACAACCTCTGGAGCTCGCGGCGGCGCGCGGGCTCCACGGCGCGCCGCCTCGGCCACAGCCCCGGCTCGTCGTCGGCCAGGAGGGAGGGGAGCGGCGGCCGGAGCAGGTCCCTGAGCGGGGTTCAGGCACGGAGGTGAGACGATCGGGCAAGGAGCAGCTTCAGATGCTACAAGATAGATGGCCTTGTCACGTTCATCACCCTGGACTTGGAGGGCGTTGAGTTGAGACTCGAGTCAAGATAGACTCTGCAAACGTTGTGAGACCGGGAAGGTGTACATTTGAAGTTGGCGCTAGAGCTCGAGTGTCCAAGAAGGTTAGTTGTTCTTGTCCGTCAAAGCGCTGTGTACTGGTTTTCTGTTTTTCCTAATGCAGACTTTGCTGTACAAAATCTAATTGTGGAGACCGTGGGTAATCCTTTTTTTTTTAAAGGGTAGAAAATCTAATGAGAAAAGGAAAATATCAGACACTTGAAAATAATGAAGGGAGACTTGGCAAAAAGAAGCAAAAATAATATCCGACCTACCGGATTCGAACCAGTGACCTAAGGATTTATCTGCAACGACTACAGTCCTCCGCTCTACCAACTGAGCTAAGGTCGGTTTGTGTTTCCATTTGGATCAGAAACCATAAATCTAAGGCATAAAGGACAAAGACAGGAATACCAAAGACCATATGTGCATCAGGGTGAATGATCGTGCACGCTATACGGGCACTGAACGGATGCACCACAAGTAAACTTGTTATCCTTGGGTCAATGTTCGTCTGTCTTTGCATGCAAGTCAATCATACTTTTTTTTTCCTGCAAGGGAAGTCATTCATAACATATTTGAGAAAATAAATAAATTATATGTACTAACATTTTACTGTTGGCACTCCTTTTTTTTGCAACTCTGTTGGCACTCCTCTAAACTGCCCAGTATTGTGCTTAGTTGCATGATGGTACGTTTAAAATCTCTCTTTCATTTTGAAGTTCAACCACATTTTATCAATACATTGATTGCGCGGATTTAGCCGGTCGATGAGCGGAGGCAGGGCAAATAAGCAGTGTGTGCCATTAGACGAAGGGAGCGGGTTCGCCTTTGACTGAGCTCGTGAGATCCCCCCTCTGTGATGGTGAAAGGTGATATACTCCACTCTCCTAGGACAACGACAAGTGCGCGTATATGATGGTGGCGTCCTGCTCTGCCAAAAGGTGCTTCATTTTGGTCCTCATAGATGCCGAGGGGATCATTGTCTACGTGCGACATGTACGGGCCGGTGTTTGAGATCCCGTGGGAGAGCAAATTTTGCCGTCTCATATATATGCATCCCTAGCAAAAGCCAGGGCCGTCCAGGGGCTTGTGCGGGCTGTGCAACTGCATAGGGTCCCCAAATTTCAAGGGCCCCCGATTTTGGGCCAGCATCTAGTAGTATATTCTTTGTTTTGGGCTCTGTTTTCACAGCAAGAACAGAATTAGGCCTATGCACTCTGGACTCCCGAAATGAGGCTTTCTCTTAGTGCCGATCCACACACCCTGCCGGTCGATCGATAAATCTATCTCGAGCTCTGCTAAAAAAACAAGCAACTATCCATCTAGCTCCGCGCGATCTGCTCGGGTAAGGAAAAGGCCCTCACGGAGATGAACTGACTCCAGTATGGCGCCGTCCGGAGGGTAGCGACGTTGCCGGAGAAACGACGCACAGCCCTACCGGCATGGATAATTCTTTCCACCATTCTGTTGGCCGCCGGTGGCCGAGAAAAGGTGAGGGCATCACCGATCTATCCACAAGGTGCGCTCAAACTAAATCCCTAATTAATTTAGACTATTTTGTCCTCACGGAGATGAACCGATTGAGGTGCTCAAACTGAATAACCAATCTGAATAATTATATGAGACGGTTCATAATCCAGTTTTTCTAGGGAATATATGGGTGTGCATATGCATCAATTCATTAATCCAGTTTTTCTAGAGAATATAAATAATAAGCTTGTTGATTAAGTTGTCACACACCAAGATTTCCAAGCTAGTTGCTCGTTCAAAATTCAGGGTTCAATCCCTTTTTTCATTTTGTTATCTTGGTAGACCTTTAACTTATGGAGTGTTTGAATTCGTTCATATTTCTTTTGTAAACAAATCATCTATTCTAAAAATTCTAGGGCCTCATTTCGGGTTCTGCACCAGGGCCCCGAATTCCTGGAGACGGCCCTGGCAAAAGCCGATGTCAGTAATTGGGAGATGGTGGCTATCCCGCTCTCTTAAGCTCATCATGCGCAGTGGTTGCATAGCCCATAGGTTTTGTGCCGATGGCGGACTGGGAGATGCATGATTTAGAGACTTTGGTGCAATCAAAGCGTGGATTAAACTTGCATAGACCGGAGTTGTGTTCGATGGATTCAGACGGTGTAAGAGATAGCGGCGACGAACCATGTGCCAAAATTGTCGTCAACCAACAGGCACCGGAACCTAATAAATCATATGGGTTGCTATCGAGAAGTGCTTCCCACTTCACCGATAATGGTCGATGTGCTCCTGCCAATAAGGGCTTCGCAATGATGCAGATCTCTGAGCTGGAGGTGACGTCTTCAATGGCATGGAGATTGCGCTATGGATTTGGACGTTTGTCTTAGCAATTTCATAGACCGAAACATGTCACCATGAAACAAGTTCACTTAAGGGCAAGTAGCAGTCAGTGGGAAGAGGTGTAAATCTCTCGATCATTCACTTATTTCCCATCCAACTCTAGACCAAGTACTCGTGGTTCCCCAGGTGGTGGCGGTAGCAACACACATGTGGCGGAGTGCACACCTTTAGTCTTGGGCTCAGTGTCTGTAAAGCATCACTTTACAAACAACATGTCCGTCAGAGTAGCAAAATAAAACATTATAGTGGGTTTGATAAATAAACAACACGATTAATTTTAAAAAATCAAATAAAATTTAACCATTACAATATTTTAAAACAATTATGTCCGTGAAGTTTCAATCATCATCAAGACTCTCTTCCATTTTGATCTCCTAATGTTCACCCCCTTGTGGTTTGAAGGGGTATTCCGTCTCTATCTTGGTGTATTCCGTCTTATGGTTGATTGGGCCGCTTTCACCCGCATAGAGGCTATCCAACTATTTCAAGACACAACACCCGACTACAAAAAAGACCGATAATTGGCCCACTCGACCAAATGCTATTAACTTACCGGTCCAAAGTTTTTTTCCAGTTGCCAACATTTTTTCATTTCTTACATTTCTAACAAGTAAATGTTACTTCAGGAAAATCTACCTTTCTCGTTTCGTACAACCATATATTTATCTAGAGTTATATCATTCTATCATCAGAATTGAAGAGTGTGGCAACGCACACATTGTGATCTACTTTCTATAGAGTAAATAGCATAAAACTATCACAATTCGGGTTAGAGTTCTAAATATTACTCCCTCCAAACTAAAACCACGACAATTTATTGTGGAATGGAGGGAGTATCACATTTTTTTACCGATGCTTACCACCCTGAGGGCACTACATTGCCAAAAACTACCACGGTGACCATTTGAGACGAAATTAATCACTATTATGACATGGTTGGTCCATTCGTCAGGGCTAATATGGCACACATGTGAACTCCGTCAGGTTGGACCATTAACTTGGCTGTTATGACCGATGGGCCCACATGCCAGTCCATAAAAGATATTTTAATATATAGTTTTTTATAAAAGAGAACTCCCTTTCCTGTTTCATTTAACAGAAATCACAGTGTTGCGATTACAAACTAAGAGAAAGCAAAGCAAGCCCAAAAGATATTTTAACAAAGTTACAAACACATCCATGGCATGTGCAAAGAGGACCCCAAATCTCAGATAAAAAAATACAATCAGGCCCGTCTCATCAAGCTCCGGCCGCACAAGATGGTCCGGATGGTGTTGTAGTTGTAGCTGCCGCAGGGCTGTTGACCGGGCTGCCATCGTGATCTACTTTCTATATGGGCAAACCTCGACACACTCATAACCCAATCGACGGCTTCTTGTGGGGGTGATGGTGGTGGTGTCCATGGATGTGATAGTGGTGGCCGTGGGGATGGTGATGGTGGTCGCTGTCGTGCAATTGTCACGGCAGATGTCCTTAGTGTCAGGACTTAGTCGCGAGGCCAACACATCTATGTGGTAGCTTGAGAGGGGTTGAGCGGGACGAAAGACGCGATGTTTTACTCAGGTTCGGCCCCTCACGGTGGAGGTAAAAGCCTACATCCTGCTTCATTGATATTGATGATGATGATCATGGTTACAAGTGTGCTCTATCTCGAGAGCTATTGTCTAAACCTAACTTGTCCAACTTGTGGAACTTGTCAACCTTCTTCCCTTGGGGTGCCCTGCCCCTCCTTATATATGTTGAAGGGGTGGTTTACATGACTAGTCCTATTAGGACTAGGATTACTCTATTACAAGTGGAGTCCTAGTCTTGCCTCCTTTGTAAGGGAATATTCCTTGTGCTTTTCTCATAAACCGGCCCACCATTAAGCGTGAACCGGCCTTCTGGACCATGGGCCTCGTCATCCATCTGACCCGCCCGCCGGGTTACTAATGAACCGCCAAGACCGGGCGGGTAGCCCGTGAACCGCCAAGCTCCGGGCGGGTTACCAGTGAGTCATCCAGTCCGGCCGGTTTATACTTCCGGCCGGTTTATGCCACGGGGTATATCCCCGATATTAGCCCCCAGTTTAATTTGGATTTATCCATGTTAAACTGATCTGCAACATAAACTCAAGAGCAAATTTGACAGGTTATGCTCCGGGTTAAAATTTTTTGTAAACCGGTACCTGATCATTCTTAAGTCCTTGTTATTTCCTCCTTCTGGGAAATCTGGGTCAACAGACCAGCTTCATAATCAATTTGCCGACATTGGTTTGTCATCGAGAAATATTGTGAAGAATAACTCTTTTGACTCAGCTCCCAAAGCGCCGGTTCAAGAAATATGGGTCTTGAAATACTTATCTGATATTCAGCCGGTTTGAAGATGTAAAACTTGTCGGTTTAATATTACCAAAATGGCCGGTTTATAAATATTGATGGCACCGGGTCATAATTGTTGTCGACACCGGATCATGTAATTGATCTTCCTGATTTGCTCAAAACTGATAAAATGAAGATGTTCCTCCTTTATATGCA